TCCCCTTCTTCTCTCCCCCAGCTATGGGTAAATAGAAGGACAGACCGGGTTCTGTAGCCTTGGATGGCAACTGTATTGAAAGATACATGATCGCCTACGTGGGTATCACACATGGCACATAACTTACTGAGTAAAAGAAAAAGCATGATAAGTTACTGTAATATTAACTATCTAACTCCAAATTGCAGAAGAGGAATCTTCCGAGTTAATGTTGAAAATTCTGAGGAAAAACATGGAACAGAAAATACAACAGGATATTAAGTTGAGATGCTAATCCTGTTTATGTAATGACTAGCAGCATGACCCGGTGTTGCCTGTGCTTGATTCAAAAATCGTACGACTCATACGGCAATCGCTATCACTTGACTTAAAATATTTTTGCCCTTCCTTGCCTTTAAAGGAGTGCCCTTTGAACATAAATAGATCAGCTTTAAAAAAGGACTCGTAACTGGAAAAACTGAATGAAAAAAGAATGTTAACAACAAATACTTTTTCACACCCAACCCAGTTCTGCGGAATCAGAATCAACGTTGAGTTTAAGCAAGGGATTGAGCCAATTGGAGTAAAGTGCCATGCAGATTTAAATTTTTCCCACTTGTGACGAATGCAGCTATCGATTTTTTTGCATGCTAGCATGCTAGTTAACATTCGTGTCAGTCAGCTGTTGGCTCTCATGCTGGCCAATAGAATCTTCCTGCCTATTTGTGGCAGCCAGCTATTGACTCTCACTCTGGCCAGTAGAAAATGGCTGCAAACTACATGAAAACTGCTGTAGAAGCATGAAAAATCGATTATTTCCACTATCGATGGGAGTTGGGAAATGCAACATCAGTCTTGGCCTTCCCGCTAACTTGGAGCATGTGCATGTAAATTTTGGTGCAAATCCATTGAAAATTGCGGCTGTGCATTCGTTACACACACACAAACACACACAAACAGATCCTGCCTTTTATAGATAGAGATTATTTGGTAATAAATTTACAGACATGTTTTATTTGGTGTGTGTTAAATTGTGAAATATGATACAGTACATGAATATTTTTTTATTATTATGATTATTTGTTTGCATTATGTATTCTATATTCTTTTATTTAACTTACTTGAATGTATTAACCATGAATTCTTTTGAAGATTAAACTGTGTAAATGGTAATGAGATTTGGAGACTGGTTTTTATTGGTATTTTTAATAGTCAAATTTTCACGGCTGTTTTACTGGAAAACAAAAGTCCTACTGATCTGTCTAGTGGGTAAGGGAACACTAATTTTAGCATGACACAGATTTTGGCAGTAAAAGAAGGAAAAGGTTTTCTGGGAAAATCACAGACTTGGTCTTTTCTGGGAAAGGTAATTTCTATTTCTAGCTGTGATGAAATATCATCACTTACAGACCTTTCTCCAGTGGCGTTAAAAGAAAAACCTGAAAAGAAACTGTGGAAAGGTATTTCCTTTTTCTTCATCTTTTTCCAAAACAGAAGCTATGATCTGGAATTGAAATGAAAGCAGTTACGGCACACTCCATGAACCCTTTATAAAAATTCAGTATATGGAATTGGTAAATTCAAATAACTCAATGTAAAAATAAGTTATAATAAACTTTAGTACCAGAGAAAAGGAAATTGAACATAGAATAAGCAACATAGCAAGCTGCAATTACAACAAATCATTAACTTTAAATCTTGAACATTATTTACATTATTCTGACTATTGTCCTTATCTTTGTCGCCATATTTATTACAATGTTTTGGCCGTTGTATGCTCCGGCCTTCTTCAGGTGGTTGGAATGTCAAACTGAACCCTTTATTTCACTCACTGGGGTAGACTGTTCTAGTTCCATGTGTCATGTTTAATGGATGTCAATTATCAGTTATCTCCTGTTAATTTTCCCTCTCCAAGTTCTCCACTGCCTTAACCGGGTATTGAACTCAAGGACACATGGCACAGTGGATAAAGGTGTTAGTTAGATCCAGTGACAGGACCCAAAGAGTGTGAGTTCAATACCCGGTTGAGAACTTGGAGAGAGGAATTAACCGGAGATAACTGATAACTGACATCCATTAAACATGGCATGTGGAACTAGAACAGTCTACCCCAGTGAGTGAAATAAAGGGTTCAGCTTGACATTCCAACCAACTGAAGAAGGCCGGAGTGTACAATGGCTGAAACGTGATAAATATGGCGACAAAGATGAGGACAATAGTCTGAATAATGTAAATAATGTACATAATACCTCATCTCAAAAATATAGACAGATACTAAAATCTTCTGTAATGTTCTTAAATGGCCTTAATAGATCGAGATATTCATATGGATGTCATGCATGTTACCTAATCAATTCAGAAATATCCAAACTGTCAGCTGTATATAGGGTGTTTCACAATTGGGGAAACAAAGCCGTGACCTCTCAAGATCTTCCCTGTTGACTTTATTCTCTTTCGCTTTTCAGATTATTGCTGGGAAATAGTTAACATTTTGATCTATTCAACCAAATAGCGAAATCATACCTCGGATGATGGAGCAGAAGACCTCATGTGTGAAGACATATTATGAAACTAAGTCTTTCAAGATTGTTCAAGCAAGATACAGGAGGAAGTTCAATTTCAACGCATTTCCAAACAGGAGTCAGACTTTCAAGTTGGTCAAGAACTTTGAAGCTCATGGCACTCGTAAAGATCATAGGGCAACGGATTTGACACCAGAAGGAATGTGCATATGTTGCCAACTTAAATGCTGCATTTAACCATGCCTTCAACTGAATTGCAGACATCTGAAGCATGTACACTAAGGCTCCTCTTGAAATTTTTGGTTCATGTTTGAGACTAAATGTTTGCACATCCTAAAATGTTATCCTTTTACCTTTCAATAAATATAATTTAAATTTGTGATCCTTAATTTGTGCTTGATCATTTTGGTTCAAAAAATTGTGAAACACCTTGTATAACCAGTTTCTTATATCAATGGTTAAAGGTGACTTTGTCCTTTTATTTATACCTCGTTGTGCAGACATCATAGGCGACACAAAATGTGTACAAATATTTTGTAGTGATGACAAAAATAACAAAGAGATCTAAGTTTCACCATCTATTAAAATTAGATAAAAATCTGGACTTATTAGGCCATAAAATCATATTTCCACAAACATTTCCGACAATGATATGACATCATTGTCTGGTGAACTAATCAGAAACGGTCCCAACAAAGATATGAAGGTCATAGTCTGGCAAGCTAATCAGAGACAAGATCTGTTCCTATCCAGGATAAGTTGTCATGGCATACAAAACAATCAGAAGACAAGTAGCAATTTCTAAATAGTTATTTTTGTTCCAAACAGCATATGACTTTAATATAATAAAAAGCTGACTTAAGGCACAAGGGATGAATTCGTTTTATCAGTTCTTCATTGCTGCTCTCATTTGAAATACAGCAATTATGCACAGAAATACTTTATTCAACTGCAATATCTGAGTACATACTTTACATATGTATAAGATACAGAATGTGGCAGAATACCTATCACATAATGGTAAGACATTAGCTAGAGGAAGACACCATCTGAGTACATACTTTATATATATTATATATATCTAAATATAAAAGTGTATATTGAGATCAACACTGAGTGGTGACAGTCTATTTCAAACTTGAATTCAATCTTCAATACAAATGGAGTGAAACATGAAACAGACTGTCGTTGCTCAGTGCTGATCTCAATGACCCCTTTTCTATTTACATACTCTCTGTGTCATGAGGATGATATAGAGAGTTGTTTTGAAAGACATAGTCAAAAGTTTGGATATGCTGAGTATCAGTACAAGTACTTGCACAATACAATGTTGTGTAAATAGAAGTGGCTTGTATGGAAACCAGCCATGACGAATCCCTCTTCGCAAACCATGTCACATTGTTGCTCAGTTTAATTTTAACAAAACGTTCTTGGACAAAGAAAGCCTTTGGGAACAGGTACTATGGAGTGAAGAAACAAAAATGGAGCATTTTGGACATAATGATGTACAGAAGATTTGGTACAAGAAAGGTGAGGCTTTCCTCCCAAAGAACACAGTGGCAACATTAAAACATGGAGGCAGCTTGATGATGTTTTGGTGTTGTTTTAGCTCAAGGGGAACTGGACAATTAATTGCAAGAAGAGGAATAATGAAATCTGAAGATTATTTCAAAATTCTGTATGAAAATCTAAAACTATCAGCACAAAATCTTCATTTAGATTGGCGATTTACTTTCCAGCAAGATAATGATCCCAAACATAGGTTTAACTCAGTGACTGCATGGCTTCAGAAATAGATTAAAGATCTGGTATGGCCTTCAATGAGTCCTGACTCTATAGCAAGAATTGAAAGTTTAAATAAATTGTCAGTCAACAAAAACCTTCAGGAATTAGAATATGTAACCATTGAAGTATGGACGAAAGTCCTAGAAAAGACTTATTCAAGTCTCATCAAAAACTTTAGAAAACAATTGCAGCAAGTTATAAAGATGAGACAACATGAGTAGTCAATACTCATGTTGTAAAAATTGCTCAATTTTTTCTATTTTTCATACAGTATGAATAATTTTGTCTTTTCTTATTTTGCATAATTTGCCAAGCAACTTTGTTGTATTTAACCTATTGTTCTGAAAATTGAGTTTTATATTCGTTTTGTTGTGCTTATTAACATATAAAAAACCTGGCATCATACAAGCATTAGATTCTGAGAAATGGATAAAAATATTAAAAATTGATAATTTGTTTATCGTTGACTGTGTGTGTGTGTATATATATATGTGGATGTGTGTGTGTGTATATATATATGTGGATGTGTGTGTGTGTATATATATATGTGGATGTGTGTGTGTGTATATATATATATATGTGGATGCGTGTGTGTGTGTATATATATATATGTGGATGTGTGTGTGTGTGTATATATATATGTGGATGTGTGTGTGTGTATATATACCCACATTCTCCAGCACTCTATCCATGTGTAGGCTTACACCCACATCACATTGAAACACCAATTCCCATATGATTACTGAAGTTAAGCAAAATCGAGCCTGGTCAGTACTTAGATGGGTAACCACTATGGAATAGCAGGTCCTGTAGACTTGGATGTGCTGGTTGCGTAATGGAAAATGCCTTGGAATTGTTAATCAGTGTCCTGAGTTCCAATTCCAGTTGGGTTCATTATATCAATTTACATGCTTGGGAAACATATGAATCCACCATTTCTCCCTATGGGTTAATTAGTAAGACTTGTATCATTAAAGAATTATTATCTCCAAAAAAAAATAATTCTTCTTAAAAAATACTTTTTGGCTTTAAATAACCTGCAAAGAGTTGATAAGCTGTAAAAAATGAACCTAACAATCTTTATGTGGACAAAGACATTTTATTAACTCCTGAACTCATAAATTATCACTTTATTCTTCTGTATATATATTGTGTCATTTAAAAACATTATTTTACTTATATTAATTCTCTGCTGATTTTCTTTCTACCTTTACGCAAGGCCTCTTTAATACATGGTGGGATATGACACATAAAAAGGTAACCACACCTCTCTCCACCATAATTTAGTAGAATAATGCTTGGCTTAATTCTAAAGTGTGTCATGTAAAATAAAGAGTATAACATTTCTAACAGTTTAATAACCATACATGCCTAAAAGTTGAAACTTTGCAGATGAATAATTTGATATTTGTTTTAAAGGCTGTCTAATTTTTACCTTTCTTTATGAATTATAAGTTAATTAAACTTTTATTTTACATTGGATATCTACTTATTAGGGATTTAATAGAACTTTCTTCTCGCTTCTTGATTTTTGGTTAAATCTGATCTTCCAAAATTTAAATGCAATTTCAATCATTATCTTTTGTCTTCTTAATTCCCGTTCTTTTATTGTTCCCTCTCTTTAATACTGTTTTCCTTTTTTTCTTATTCTTTCACACTCAGTAACCATTTGCATCTCAGTGGCTTTATTGACTTGCTTGAGGTAAAATGATCAGAAAAAAAACAAAACAAACACATAAGTTAATAATTTTCAATAAAAAGACGTTTTTCATTTTGTCTGAAACTGATTGATTAACAAGATTTTTTAAATAAAATAATAATAATGCTATAATTTTTTTTAATAAAAAATTTTAATAAATTTTAATAAAAAAATCCCCGTTTTAATTTTTTTAATAAAATCTCTGCTATAATTTGAATCACTTTAATTTGTTTTAAAAATTGTTCAAGTTTTTCTTCACAAACATTAAAGGTTAATGGCTTTATTATTATAATGATGGTGATCAAGATCTATTCTATGGTCAATATTTGTTACCCTGCATAGGGATTGAACTTACTAATGTTTTGTTGGATTATCCTATCTCCCCTGCGAGTTCAGATGGGTTTGACCCAAGTAGCTCAATTTAAGCTAGTTGTTTTCTCGAGATGACGGAGGCTTTTTTGGGGGGGAATTTGTTTCAGAGTAATTCAGGACTGAACAAACTTTCAGCCACCTGAATAATGTCCTTAAAATAATTTGACAATTATGATTATTATAAAAACATTATAAAAGTTCACACAGTTTACTGTGATTTTTTATACAATTTTTATATGATTATTATTATGATTATAATAACAGTAATAACAATGCAGGGAAAATTTTCCATTCTGTCTATCCCCCCACCACCCATCCCGAGAACTGATCTTAAGAAATTAACTAAAAATAGACAAATATTTAAGTCAAATAAATAGTCGAATTTTTTTTTTTTAATAGCTTAAAGTAATTAGGAAACACAGGTGTACTGTCTGCATGTGATCGACCAACTGTGGTGATATTGCTGATCTAACTGTTCAGACTGGATTTATTTTGCTTTCAACATTTGTATATATGGATATTTTCTGGACTTGTGAGAGTAATGACATTTATTTTCATGAAAAACTAGATTCAGTCTTTTCAGAGCAGCTCTCACTTTGGGAAGACAAATTTGCATAATAGCCTACCGGCAAGTGAAAAAACAAGTTGAAGTCACATAGATTCCATGAAATCATTCTGAAGTATTTTGTGTACATATTGTTCTGTAACCTTGACCAAGCAAAACAGACTTGTGTGTGTGAGAAAGGGAGGGAAAGAGGAATTTTATATATTTTCCATGTTGTGGGCCATAGTATTACACTGAAGTAGCTGAAATTTTGCCATAAGGTTTTTTTCTGTGATGTCAACGAACACTTGTTGCCGTTCTTGTAATGTCAATGAATACTTGTTGCCGTTTTCGTAATGCTCATTGTAGTAGAGACTTGCTACTTTCAGATACAACTATAGTAACGCTGTTGAAAAATACTGGTGTCAGACGCCTTTGAATAACACTCACATCATTGTACTTGCTCAATACTACTTGCTCAAAAAGTAACCACCGAATAGTGATCAGTATAGAGAATAGTAATCCATATAGCAATAGAGGATAGCATAGAAATGGTGATCAATTAGATGCTACACTAATTCCCATATATACATTTTCTTTATGATCACATGGTCTACTTATTAAAAATGGAATCACCTGTGTTTGCTCACTGGTGATCCGTGTTCAAACTCAAGTGTCGGCAGTGACACTTTATTCCTATGTAACACCTCCCCTTTGAGATGACTCCCCCTGGAATCTGTACTTTTTCAGCTTCGTTTTGATAGTTAGAAATTATGTTGGCATCCTTTTTCTTTTACTGTACCTCCTTGGTTCACTAATTTCTGGTGGTGTGGGTACGTCAAACATGTCATACAATATTTCTATCGGCACCTCTTTTTGGGGACTTACTAAATCAGTGAATCTCTGTTTTAACTGATAAAGGTGTCACTTATGTTCCCACCTTTGCCCCTGTACCATGTACGTCATTTTGCTGATCCATTTTTTTATAATTTAAAAAAAATTTATATTATCTTCCCAGAATTCCTTTCCATACTGATACATCTTAAAAATACCTTATCTCCAGGTTTGAAGTATTTACTTGCATTGTTATTTCTTGATGTTCTCACCTTGCATTTTGGTAATAACTTATTGAAAATATACTTAATCTTCCTGGCAAACATCAACTTTGCAGACGACAGTCAAGATAAAGTGTTCAGGTTTGGTGTTATTCTTTAAACAATCAGAAATTGCTGAATCATTACTTCACCTGACTCCTTTCCTTCAGACATTTTTAGTGCCCTTTTAAATGTATTGACAAATCGTTCCACTTGTCCATTTGATCTTGGGTGATAACTGGGAGTTGTTATATGTTCCATTGCTAATGATTTGCAAAAATAAACTTAAATTCACCAGATGTGAATTGAGTCCTGTTATCTGAAATGATAGAGTCAGGAACAGCGAACCTTGCAAAATCTTGTGTTGGAAATTTATTGTTACTGCAGTAGTTGGTCTTCTACATTTTAATATTTCTGGTCATTTAGTGTAACTATTGACTACCACTAGATGGTATGCTTCATTTAATGTTCCTGTATGCATTCTGGACCTTGGCATATTGGTTTTTGGCTAAGGTTGAATTTTGATAGGCCCTATATGAAATTCTGCCAGAGCACAACCTCTGTATGATTTCACTAAATTTTTGATATCTTGATCCATTTTTGGCCAGTAAATATAACACCTCATTAAGGATTTCATTCTAGAAATTCCTGGAAATTCTTTTAGCATACATTTTTGCATTGATGCTGGTACCACAATTATTTCTGTGTAGATAAGTGCATTATTACATATTGAAAATGCATTATTTCCAGTAATATTTTTTCCTTTTAACCGTAATTGCTTTTTCATTTTCATTATAAAACCATCTTTTTCTGACTTAATTCTTATTTACTCCAATGTTATGGGCAGTTCTCTGACAGTATTGTATAATACATTATTAATTTTATTTTCGGCCCTTATTGCCGCAGTTACTTTCTCTTTAAGTGGTTCGCAGAATCTTGGTTATTAGTTTTGATAATCCATCTGCATGACTTAATTTTTTGGATGGTAGAAACTCCATTTTATAATAGTAGTTCAATAGGATAGTTCCCCAGTGCTGCAGTCTATTTGCTGTATGTGTGGGAACACCCATTTTTTTTATCTATATATGGACAATAATGGATGATGGTCTTTCTGTAGTATGAATTCTCTACCATGTATGAATTTGTGAAACTATTTCAAGGCAAATATGATGGCCAATGCTTCCTTTTTAATCTGTAGCTTCTTTCAACTGCAATTAATGATCTTGAAGCATGAGCTATTGGTTTAGTTTTTCTGTCCTTATATTTGTGTAGTATACCCATTACCCAAATCTGATGCAACCACCATCTTTAATTTAGGATCAAAATGATCTAGTGTCAAATCTAATGTTAACGCTTTCCTGATCTCTTCAAAAACACTTTGACATTTATCTGTCCAATTCCATTTCACATCTTTCTTTAGCACGTTATTCAAGGGTGCTCTTAATTCATGCATATTAGGTATATATATATATATATATATATATATATATATATTTAATTAATTCATCGAGTCTGATAGAAACCTCTACAGAATGCAGGAAGCACTGGACGGCCGTTTCGTCCTATATTTGGGACTCATCAGCAGTGCGCATCCACTACCGAGAATTGAAACCCTGACAGTTAGGTTGTTAAGCTGACATCATACCAACTGTTCCAAGTGGGCCTCGGTGACGAAGAGATTCCAAATCAGACTCAACTAAGCGCCGCTCGCTCACATATTCCGTGGCGGAACTCAACTGAGTTCTCTGTGACCATAGGACTGTGCCCCCGGGAGCCACGACTACTCTCACCAAGCCGCTACCAACTGGAGCATTAGAAGCCGGTTCAAGCGAAGATAAACACAGATAGTAATTAGTAGGAGGATTTGATAATGATATTTAATTAATTCATCGAGTCTGATATATATATATATATATATATATATATATATATATATATATGATAGTAGTTAGTAAACCCTAAAAATGCTTGTAACTTTGTTATATTTGTTGGAGCGGCATGTTCCTTATTGCACTCGCACTTGAAGGATCTGGTTGTCTATTATTTTCATCAATAATTTGTCTTAGATATTTAAGTCTGGACATAAAAAATTTGCATTTTCCTT